CTACTAGGAGCAAGAACGCTACTAGGGGCTCCTGGCATCGCTACTAGAAGCAAGAGCGCTACTAGGGTCTCCTGGCCTTACTACTAGGAGCAAGGACGCTAGAAGGAGGTACGCCTTACTTAAGCCGGAAGGGCACCTCTCTTGAGCCTCTTCAGGTGAAAACAAACCAGGAGGCTTTGGCGAAGACCGAGCCCGAACTGGCGAAAGAGATTAAGGAGACCGCGGAGAAGATCAAAGAAGTCAAGGTGCGATGCTTTCTGGAATTTGTCCAGGACAACTGCGGGACCCCAGGGGATTGAAGTAGGTTGAGCTGCACAAGGCTGAAAAAGCGGCAGAAGAAGCAGCTGCCAAAGAACATGAGGCTGCGGTTGCAGCTGGAAGAGCTAAGGAGGAAGAGGTGCATGGATGTGCGGGGTGCGCAAATCCTTGTAACATTCACAGGCAAACACTCTTCGTGGACAAAGTAGGAGGTGCTTTGCATCGGAGACATAGCAAGAGACAACCCCACCCGAATCCACAATTTGCCTTTCGACTTTTTCGCAAAGAAAGTCAGGCCCATACTTTCTGGTAAGCAATGGTGAGCCTGTTTCTTTATCCCGTGGAAGGAGCGCCAAGTGGCCGTGGCCGACTTCCTGAAGAAATATGGCTTCAAGTCCGTGAACAGTCCTAAAAGGTGGGAAGGAAGCTGAAAAGGTTCCATCGTTTCGTTCTTTTCTGCCTGCTTCCTTTGTGCGTAGGTCCTTGCTGTGGTCCAGCTATGCTTTGCACAAGGCTGCCAAACAGGGCGACGCAAGGACCAAGTGTTCATCATCCGCACCCAAACATAGTGTATTTTTGGCTGACCAGCTTGAAGGTTATTGGTACCCCCTTAGACTTTGGCATGAGGGCTGAATGCCTGTCTGTTGCAGGATGGTGGAATTTCTACTCTTGGAAGGAGCTGTGAAAGATCAGAAGGACTCGTCATACTTCCTGATGGGGCACACATTGCCGGTTACTTAAGTGTTGTCAAAAACTTCCAAGGACTGCATGTTTCTATGTTCCCCCCAAATGTTTTTCTTTTGCTTTCCAGTTATAAGAAGATTTGTTCACACCATCCAACAACCGGCTTGGGGCCTGGTCGTGCCCCTCCAGTGTGGAGCTCTGCCTGTGCTCTTGAAGCATGAGTGTTTAAGAGAGCGCTCCGCGTATGCAAACCAATGTGATCTCTCAAAAATCCTCAAGACTTGGCCCTCAAATCTCATGAAGAGTGGGCCCTTGTGTTCAACGGCTCTGCTTGTCCAATCCTCTTAAGGGCTGTGATGTGTGCTGAAAGCAGCTGAAAGCAGTCTTATCGAAATCTGCGAGTGTATCCTTAAGTGCTCCTTCTCCGTAGTGTGCTTTGGAGAATCATGTGCATTCATTCTTTCGCCTTTGTGGCAATCGATGGCAAAAATGCCCAGCCCATGCATGACCCGGTCGTGAAATCCGCCCCAAAAATGCAATGAGCTCCAGCCTTGAAACGCGCTGCTCTGACAGTGTATGCGAAAGGTTACAAAGTGCCGTGCTTGCCTTTTTATTGAGAGGCAGATCTTCAAAGCTTCCACTCTTGTTCAACAAGCAACAAAAGAAGTTATTTTCGACGAAACCCATGGCATAATCAAAAGGCTGAAGCGACAAACACATGATCCTTCCACTCCCGCAATGCCTGTGTCGTCCTGCCCTTGTTCTTTGATGATGAATGCTCATCAATAACTAGCCACAGTGTCCAGTCGCATGAATTCTAGCGATCAATCACGTTTTTGACACGCCACAGATGCTATTCTTCTAAAGTTAGCCTTCTTTTGTTTTATTTGGACTTTGGTACAAGACCTGATACCTGATGCATGGTGTCCAGTAGAGTACCCCTGCATTGTTCAAGCTCTTTCTCCATTGATGCCAGATGGGGGTCATTTTCTCAGGGTGGATCGGGGCAGAAAGTCCTGCAGGACTCCAGTGGCAAAACACCTGCGCAAATTGCAAAAGCTGGAAAACATACAGCTGTGCCGGTCTTACAGTGCACTTTTTGTTTTGTTTGTTGTTTCTTTTTCGGGCACATGCACCCAGCTACTTTACACCTACAGGTTTGGCATGTCTGTTGGGCTCACTAAGGGAGTTCAGGAAGTGGCACAGGTGTTTGAAGGCTTGACTACTGACTTCTCCCGCTCAGGCGGAAGAGCTGGTGAGATTGCTGTAACTATCCTTAGCCAAGGTTGATACAGTAAGCGAATAAGCGAACACCCGACACACACACACACACAAGACACATGCGACCCAGTGCATGCAGTTCTGGAAACTTTTTGCCGTTGATTTAGCATGGTTTCTTATACCAGGTGCTGCGTGTGCTTGATGATGGCTCGCGTTCCGGTGCTCATGGTGGGGCATGAACCCTGGTGTGGAAGGAAAGACTTTGTTCTGCCTTGGACCAATCTCTGATAGCAGAAACCAATCGGAGCTGGGTTCGCATCACAAGCTTGTTATGGCACATCAGGAGTTCAATTTGACCAGAGAGAAGTAGTCGGACTGGAAGGACTCAAAAGCTGTCCAACCAACCTCTGCATTTTGCATACCGCGAATAGCTTTGTCTGGTTGCCTCGTGCATTGGCATGAGGTGCAACCATACGGCAGGGCAGACACGTACTGTATGAAGAATGGAGCAACGCCAAGTCCAATGTAGTTTATAAAAGTGTCTATGCACCTGCATTTATGATTTGCTCTGCCATTAAAGGGCTCGGAGGTAAAGGCAATGGTTCTGCCTCCAATGCGAGGGAAGCTAGTCTGAAGGCGTTCAGCGGTGCGGCGAAGCCGTTTTGCTGAAGGTTGGAACACTTCTTTTCGGCAGCCGAGGGAGCGTTTGCGAAATTAGTTGCTCGAGAAGGAAGGCAGTTGGATGTGAAGCCACCCAACTTGTACAGACTTCCATATCCACTTCTTGTCCAGCCATGTAGAACAGGTTTTGCGTGATTGCCTGCAGAGTCACACATTTTCCATGGCCGTACAGTTGATAGTGGTGTAATCGTTTAATGTGATGGAGAAAGCAGTTTGGTGGTTGATGTGAAATGTGTTCTTTTTTGTTGGCGATTTTTTTTGTGTTTTGTGACATAGCTTTTGAATGCCTGTGATAGGACCGGAGGGCAGAGGATCCTAGTGTTCTTGAGGATCTAGCCCGATAGACTCAATGCACACCAGCATGGGGCAGAAAAGGAAAAAGCTGATGCATTCCTGTCCCACGTACTCAGTTACCAAGCATAAGCCAGAACTGCAACGCTGAAATGCATTTATGACATCTCTTAAACCTCAACGCAAAGCCTTGGTTTCAAGTTTTATGTTCACCCCCTTGGTTGTAAGAACTTTGGATGCCTGACAGAGTAAGACAAGAAGGTAAGGCTACCTCGTTTAAAGGGGGCCTGGTTAGAGTGGGCCTTGCCTTCTGTTTTCCTATTTTAACATTAGTTGCTTAATTTAAGCATTCGATTCAGAGTAATTTGCTGCCTGCTGGAGGCGACTGCAGGCGTGTCATGGGAAAGCTTGGTTTTGTTGGCAATTTGGTAGGCGCTGGCATCTGAACCAAAGGAGACTATATAACATGTCTGAATATTTTGTGATATGAGCCATACATGACAAAACAATAGTATAAACAACAAGTAAAACATAGTAATACACAGATATATGATATAGGATTTATGTATCCTATGCATGTATATATCTACATATTATATCATACATATTTGCATGTTGTGATACTAGCAACTTGACGGCTTTGGATTGACCCCGTGTCGCCAGGCTGTGCGAGTCGAGCCTTCCAGGCACGTCGGAAGATAGGATCAGAGCTATTTGATAATTCATGGCCAGCGCCGAGCGCCGCTGTAAACCGTTCAGGCCAGAGCTTCGCCTTGCAACTCGAAAACGCAGCAAACTTACAGAAAATCACAGTGATTCTTGATGCTTGGTTCCACAACACTTGGGTGCCATTGTTTATGATGCTTTCGCCTGTGCCAGGATTTACTAGCAATTTGCACTGTTGGGAATGCCTTTCCCGGTCAAACATTTCTCCTGACATGTTCCATGATTCAGGCACTGATGTTTCCCCAATCATGCGGCGACGCCCCAATGAGATTGCAAAGGCTGTACACGCTATATTTCACACTCTAAAGCCATGGAAAGCCTCAACTTGAGTCAGCCTTTCTTGCGCTTCTGTAGCCCCTTCTGAGCAGCAGAAGACTCCAAGAATGTTTGCTAGAAGCACAATGTATCAGCACGTGTTGGATTATGACGTGATAGCACATGGAAAAACCTAGTTAGCACATGTCAGCACAACATGGCAGGTAGTGGGAACTGATGGCCGCATTCGCCTTCGCGGACCTTGGGCCACATCAGAGCGTGGGATGGATGCCACGAATTGCTGCGCAGACCCAGAGTTGGCAACTCTAGTCGCATCATATTGCTTCTAAGGAGTGGCTTCAGTCAGCGATATCAGGAGATACTGCACGGCCGTGGCCTAACTTGCTTTGTTTTGCATTCATTTGAGCAGAGATAAAATGAAGGCCCAGAAAAGCATAGATTTCTCCTAGGACATCGATCCTTATAGTCGGAAGAGCTGGGCAGTGCGAGAGGCAGAGAATTGCCGCGAGATGCTACGGAGCGCAGCTAGAAATTCATTCGCTATCATACACTCCGATTCGAAGCGGACTCCCCCACTGCATCAGGCCTTCAAATCGATGCGCACGGAAGAGCAGAACCGCACGGCCGCGCAGACCTGGAGTGAGATGCCCAGTGGCAAACTGGTGTCATGCCCCTAGTAGCGTCCTTGCTCCTAGTAGCGATGCCTAGTAGCTTCTTGTTCCTAGTAGTGAGGCCAGGAGCCCCTAGTAGCGTTTCATGCCCAGTGGCAAACGGGTGTCGTGACAGTGAAAGCCGTCGCTGGATGCTATGACAGCTACTGGTAGAATTGCGAGCTGAGGTGCACTGAAAAGCTGGCAGGCCTCTGAGAAGCCACTCGATGAGTTTCAATCTCAGTTGAACAAACTATCTCAATTTGAGCCACTATCTCAATCAACATGTTGTGAAGTTTCGGTACTAGGAGCAAGGACGCTACTAGGGGCTCCTGGCCTTACTACTAGGAACAAGAAGCTACTAGGGGCTCCTGGCAACGCTACTAGGAGCAAAGACGGAGATGTTTTGAGTATTTGGACTCAAGGAACTCTACCAGTTGTTTTTTTGGTGAAGTCATCATTAAGTGACAGTGATATAGTTGCTAGGTTTGCCCATTTGGGAGAAGTGATACGTTGAGTCTTTGAGATATTTTAGCAACAGCTCTTCAGTTCCACTGAGCTATTCGGGGCATCTAAATCGGCATAGACATCTCCAATATTGAAACTGAAGCATTTCTAAATAAGCATTGTGATGCAGCACGCGGGCAGCCAAGGTGGTACGCTGGTGTGAAGTGCAGGCGAGAATGCAGAGGCTTAGGTAACCTCAGTTGCTAGCAAATGCCAAGCTTCTAAGCTTGCCACAGGTGAGAAGAGGGCTTTTTCAACCAGTGGACTAGATGAAGTGAACCTAGTAGTGGTGTAGCAAAGACAAGGCGGACATCCGCGTGATTTCAGACAATCATTTGCACAGCTACATGTCAGCCCTGAGGGGAACACACGTGCAGTGCAACAGGAACATGATCTTGTGTCACGAAGTGTGTTTTTGAGATCTCCATCCACAATATGCCATATGGGTCATGCTCTTATTCACTGGCACACTGCAGCATGTGCAGCATATCCTGTCATGTCCTGTCCATCCCAGAATCCCAGAAGGGTGTCAAATAAGACTTTGGAAGGGGAAGTGGCCAGTAGAGTGGAGGTCTGTGGATGTTTTCCTGGACGAGACCAGTTGCTCCTTCCGCCGCCGTGTTGCTACCAAGCCGACTTTAAATCTCTAAACGCAATTAAATGCCTGATGTTGAACAGAGGTACCCTTGCCCCCTTTTTTGAGTACCAGGAATGTACTCATGCACACTCTGCAACAATCTAGTGCTTACTTCTGTCCATCAATGAGGAGTGTAAAGCTCTTCAGAGGCACGCAGGAAAGATGTCCAGCTCAGTGCGACTGACCAGATGGGGCGACAGCGACAAGTCGCCCAACGGCGACTGGCAGACGTCTCACTGCGAACGAAAAGGATCTGCCTGAGACGAGGAATTCTCCTCAAGAGGATCTAAGGAGTCCTTGGAACTCATTTGGAGAACCATCAGCTGAGAGTTCTTGTTTAAAATAGCTTTTAAAAGCCCGGCAGCGTAGACCGCTAGAAGAAGTAGCTAGTAGTAGCTTAAGTAAGCTACGACCTAGGGTGCAGGATAGCTCGTGCTTCCACTAATAAATTCATTCCTAGATTTTGAGGGAAACGTAACGAGTCATTACCCTTGGAGCAGTCTGGTTTGCCTAAGAACGGGGAGAGGTCGGAGTCGGAGGACCTTGTTGGCCTATAGCTAGGGTTGCCTTTCTTTGGATAATCTTTTGGAGTGGGAGGGAAGTCTTGAAGATGTCTCCCAACAATGTTACTTATGTGTTTTCGTTATCGCAAGTCCTGCCCCGGTTTGTGGTGTGTCACAGGAAAATCAGGAGATGTGAAAAGGCCTTCTAAGGAGGCCTGAGGTTCCCCGCCCACGCTTCCTGTTCTCCAATCGCAGCTTTCAGCCGAGCCATGGCGCTGGGGTCCAGGGAGAAGGCCCACAGAGATGTTTCGGACAGTGGTAGGTGCAACGATGACGGTAGGTGCAACGCCGGGTGAAACACCTGAGGGATTTGGTATACGTGGATAGCAGAATCTGTCCACATTTCAGTTGCGAGAGTCGTTCTGCCATTTCCATTTGGGAATATTCCACAGGGCTGTCCTGCTGTCCTACTGTCCTTGCTGCAGATGAGAGCTGAGTAGTGGAAGTCTCCTTCCAAGAGCTTCCAGAATCTAGAGGGTTTGGCGTCCTTCAGTGGCTCCGGGGACTCACTCCATTTCTGAAGAAGTGCAAAGCAGAACCGGATAGAACAGGCAGTGAGCTGAAGATCAACAACAAATGCATTTCTTATCATTTCTTACTACTTGAGAAGCCTCGCGTATTGAGTGTCCATCCATTCAAGCACAATTGAAGCACCTGTGAAAAATGTTCAGAAGAACAAACATGTTTAAATGCTTGTGCCGCCACGCTGCTTCTTGGCAAGGTGGCACTGAGGGAGCGGCACCCCTGACAGAGTTCTTGTCGAGGGGTCGAGCGACTTGTAGGTGTTCGGTTTGGACGACTGCACCATCAGACTGGTAGTGCTGGTAGTACAGCCCTGTACGGCTCCAGACTCTAGATGGTTTTTCGTTCTCTTCAGCCAGAAACCACACTGCAAATCGATGGTTTCCATGGGTTTCCTGAGCACAGGACGAGATGGACATTTTCAGAGCTTAAACTTTCAATTACAGTAATCTACATGACAGACCTAGGCAGATACAGCTACAGACCGAATTGAGCCAATCTCATGAAGAGTGATGATGAAGTTGGCCGGTAGGCGAGTTGCACAGCAAAAAGATGCAAAAAGCTGTTGGACAGCAAAAAGCAATGAGCCATCTGCACATCTCGTTTTGACGCCAGGCATTGGCCCTGCTGGTCGATGTGACTC